AGAGCGGGTACCTGGTTTTGACAGGTAACCGCTCTCAGTTCCAGCTCAGTTCACCGCAGCGAAGTGAGCCAGAAGTCCAGCCCCCTCCTTCCTCCCACAATCTCCTCTCCTGGGACCTTTCACAGGTCCCAGAAAACTGCCGGACCAATCAGGAGGTGCGGCGCGACTCGCGCATGCGCAGTGGGCACCAGGCTGTGAGGCCGCAAGCTGTCACAGCCTGGTGCCCACAGTTGAGATGCCGGTGCCATGGAGGAGAGATGGAGAGAAGGGACGGTGCAGGTTAGAACATTGCTGGACTCTGGGACAGGTTAGTGTGTGTTTATAAAAGTCAGCAGCTACAGTTTTTGTAGCTGCTGACTTTTAATAAAAGCTAACACGGCTGGAACTCCACTTTAACCACTTGCCCTCCAGATGATTTACCCTCCTTCCTGACCAGGCCATTTTTTGCATTTTTTGCTATTTCAACTGATATTTGCGCAGTCATGCAATGCTGTACCCAAACAAAATTTATATCCTTTTTTCACACAAATAGAGCTTTCTTTTGGTGGTATTTTTTCACCGCTGGGTTTATTTTTTGCGCTATAAACAAAAAAAAGTTTGAAAAAACAATATTTTCTCATTATAAAAAATATCCAATAAACTCAAATTTCGTCATACATTTAGGCCAAAATGTCTTCTGCTTCATGTCTTTGGTAAAAAAAAAAAATCCCAATAAGTGTATATTAATTACTTTGTGTGAAAGTTATAGTGTCTACAAACTATGATATAGATACTGTAATTTATGCCAATTTGTGCTATATGGCGCTTTGCTAGTTTAACTGACAATTGCACGGTCATGCAATACTGTACTTAAATAAAATGTGTCCTTTTTTTCACACAAATGGAGCTTACTTGTGGTGGTATTTGATCACCTCTGTGTTTGTTTTGCGCTATAAACAAAAAAAGACTGAACATTTTGAAAAAATGATATTTTCTCATTTTCAAGTGTTGTCATACATTTAGACCAAAATGCATTTTGCTGCATGTCTTTGGTAAAAATTCCCAATAACTGCATATTATTTGGTTTGTGTGAAAGTTATAGCCTCTACAAACTATGGTATGGATACTGGAATTTACACAGCTTTTACTTTCTGTCTGCCTATCACATTTGTTGAGGTTCTAAAATGCCAGGGCAGTACAAACACGAACAAATTACCCTTTTTCAGAAAGTAGACACCCTAAGCTATCTGCTGAGAGGCATTTTGGGGTTTATTTACTAAAGCTGGAGAGTCCAAAATCAGACTCCCTTCTGCATAGAAACCAATCAGCTTCCAGGTTTCATTGCCAAAGTTTCATTGAACAAGCTGAGGTTAGAAGCTGATTGGTTTCTATGCAGAAGGGAGTCTGATTTTGGACTCTCCAGCTTTAGTAAATAAACCCCTTTGAGTCCATTGAAGATTTATTTTTTCCACAAGTTTTTGGAAAATTACACATTTTAAAAAATATATATATTTTTCTCAAAGTTGTAATTTAAATGGTATATTGCTCACACATGCCATGGGTATATGTGGAATTACACCCCCAAAATATATTCAGTGATACCACATGTGTGAGACTTTTTGGGAGCCTAGCCACATCCAATGACCCCTTTGAAATCCTGATGGTGCATCAATTCTTCATTTCACTTCCTCACTACCTATCTTAGTTTCAGAAGCTCTGAAATTCCAGGATAACACAATCCCCCCCACAGATAAGCCCTTTTTGGAAAGTAAAGACCCCAGACTATTTGCTGAGAGGCATGTTGAGTCAATGTAATGCTTTATTTTTTACCACGTTTTTGGAAAATGAGAAATTTTTTTTTTTTTACACAAAGTTGTCACAATGATATATTACTCATACATGCCATGGGCATATGTGGAATTACTCCGAGTATGGGGATAGCACATGTGTGAGACTTTTTGGGAGCCTAGCCACATGCAGGAGCCGGAAATCCAATGACCACTTTTAAACCTACTACAGGACAATTTTATGGTACAGTTCATAGCGTCCCCAACTAGGAATGATGCTCTGCTGGACCTGGTAATCTCAAACTATGCAGAGCTTATTACGAATGTCCATATAAAAGAACATCTGGGTAGCAGTGACCATAACATGATTTCATTTATTGTTAGCTGTAAACAGCAAGCACATACAGGAAAAATGAAACCGCTCAATTTTAAGAGCGCTAATTTTCCAAGGCTGAGAGATGCTCTCCAAGACTTAGACTGGGAGGGAATATTGGCATCAATGAACACAACACAGAAATGGGAGTTCTTCAAAAAGACTGTATATGAACACACTGACAAAATATATTCCCATGGGCAACAAGTTTAAAAGGCTAAAAATCAAACCTATGTGGCGTACGGACAAAGTTAAAAAAGCTATAGATAATAAGAAAAGAGCTTTTATTAATTATAAAAATGAAGGAACACTATCATCTTTTAAACATTTCAAAGAATATAACAGAATATGCAAAAAAAAA